CTACAGGCGGTAGCACAGAAGCTGAGGAGATTAAGAATACGGACAGAGCAGGGATCTGGAAAATAAAGCGGGAAATTGAAACGGTTGAATAGAACAAAGGAGAAAGACCTTCAGCAGGGCCGGCTCGAGGTGCTTCTGCGCCCTAGGCGAGGCCGCCTTGTGGTGCAGATGCCTACCTCCCGGTGGGGCCTGAAAACCTGAAGACCTCTGGAGCCAGCTGCCCTTTTGCCGCCACCACAACTGAGTGCGCCGCGCCGCCAGCAGAGCCGATTGGGGAGGCCCGCATGGGCGGAAGCAGCAGCGGGGCCAGGAGACCCGGCCAAAGATTAGGCCATGGAGGGAGGGCGAGGAGGCAAGCGACTATGGAGAGTGACAAAGATCGCAGCCAGCCCTGGCCTGCTGGCCCACACTGGCGTCCACAGAAAGACACGTGGCGGAGCAGTGAGAGGGGGGGCATCAGACACAGCGAGGTGGGGCCCCAGAGCTTTTCCTACCTTTGATGCCGAGGAAGAGGAAGGAGGAGGAGTTGGGGGAAAAATATACTTGGACAAAAGCAACCTTTGGGCATCTGTTTTTGAAAGGGGGGCGGGCAAGACAGGGGGGGCGAGGAGGCGAGCGACTACGGAGAGCGACAGAGATCGCGGCCAGCCCTGGCCTGGTGGCCCGCACCGGCATCCTCAGAAAGACACGTGGTGGCGGCGGCGAGTTGGGGGGGCATCAGATGTGGTGCGGTGGGGGGGCATCAGACGCTTCCCCCGCCTGCCTCTGCTCCTCTCGGCCACGGCTCAGTCGGGGGGGGGGGGAAATGCAGCACAAGAGGCAGCACGGAAATGGAGCCAGTGGCCGCGAGAGCTCAAGCTGGGCCAGGCGGCTGGAAATGATAGTTCAGGGAAGTTTTACATCGCCCCCTGAGAGTAGAAAAGGAACGCCATCTGTAAGGATTCCTTATTTTTTTTGGGGGGGTGTCTCTTTAAAAGTTTGGTGCATGGCTGTGGTAAGTAGACTAGAGTGGTTGAGAGAAGCAAGTGTGGTATGATTGGTGGTTGACAGAGAGGGGGAGGGGTTTTGGAAGTGAAAATGAGTGGATGAGTATGTATGTCAGTCAGGAGTGACAGTTACAGGTTGACAGTTGATGTTCAGTTAGAGATAAGCAAGCAGTTTTGTGTTGAAGCAGTTAACAGCTTACAGCTGTGGTAGTTCAGTGAGACAAACAGAAGGAAAGCTGAGTGTATAGTAAAAAGCAAATGAAAGTTTAATTGAAGACAAGTTATAGGAAAGGCTGTATGTCCTGATAAACTGGAAAGAAACAGTGAACATATATGACCTGGAGTTAAACAAGTGTTACAAAGTTATCTGAAAGATCCCTGTAAGTGAGGGATAAGATTGTGTGATACCAAAGCAATTGTTCATGATTTATACATTACTAGTTACATTGTACAACCCTCTTATTTAGTAGTTATTTCAATAAATCCTCTTTCATCCAAGTTTATACCAGCTCTGAAAGAAATACTTCCCAGTACCACATAGATCCTCGTAAGCCTTGAACTCGGTCTACCAAACTAGTTAAAGCAAGAGTACAAGCATGAAGGTTTAGAAATCCTTAAAATTTCCTGGTGGCAGCCAGATATACCCAGTAGAACAAAATAAAAAGAACACTTTTAAAGGGAACCCAGTCCTCCCCAATAAGGAGGATGTCACACCATCTCTTTCAGTCCCAGCTCCTTTAGCAGGCAGAACGCGCAGACCCCTCCCGCCCGCCCCCCCGCTCCTCTAGCAAAGCCGCCCTGATTCACCTCGACTCGTTCACAAAACCAGACCCCCCGACCCCCCGGCTCCCATCATCGCCTCCAAGCCTCGTGGTAAGGAGCCCGCTTGCGCGAGTGAGCTACTGCGGTGGCAGGGCAGAAGGGTGGCGGGGGGGAAGGCACAGTTCCGCGCCCCCATCCAGGGCCTGCCGCCCCATCCAGGGCCCAGCGCTCTAGGTGAATGCCTAGTCCGCCTAGTGGGTGAGCCGGCCCTGACCTTGAGGCATTGGAGAATGAGACAAAAAGGCCCCGGGAAAGGGAATTTAAAAGAGAGAGAAGCCCAAAGGCAGCATGAACTTGGATTAAGTCAATTAAATATGGAGAAATTGCAACTGAGGGCTGAGTTGGGAAATACTAGGCTACAGGAAATACTAGGCTACAATACCAGGAACAGGCAATGTGATGTGAATGAATGTGCCCTGTCTGAAAAAGTGTGTGAGAGAGAAAATGAAGACTGTTAATACTCCTGGTGGCTTGAAATGTGTCTGCACAGAGGGCTTTGAAGACAAAGATGGTGCCTGTGCTCCAGTTATAAAAACAGGTTAATCTGGTTTTCAATAATTTGGGAGCTGCCATTCCCTTATTGGAGTCTGAATCTTCTAGAGAACTGCCTGAAGAACTTTCACTGCTGCTCGATGTATGTTCGATGTTTTCTTCTGTTACGCTGTTGTCCTCTGCTCTTCCATCCTTCGCTGTTGTTTGGTGCTGTTCCAAAAATGCCTTTGCTTTTGTAACAGAGTCAATCTTTTGCTTCTTTTCTTTGTAGTTGAAGATAAGTCCTTCTGGAATTATCCATCTGTAGGGGGTGGAGTTTTTACACTAAGACAGTGGTAAGTGACAGAGTTGTAGGAAGTGAGATAATTTGCCCATCTTTTAATATAAGTTGTATGATTTTATATTGATTGACAGTTTTAATGGGATTTTAATGTATTTTTATATATGTTGTTAGCCGCCCTGAGCCTGCCGAATGGCGGAGAGGGCGGGATATAAATGTAAATATAAATAAATGAATAAATAGATGAGGAAGCCTATGACACTGAACAAAAGAGATTTCCAGAATTTCCGAAAGGAGGCGATATTTTTAGTTTTGTTTTTTTGTTAGCTTCGCAAGGGCTTATAAAGATTTTCAAGTGATTTGATTTATTACATTTCCACCCCGCCCTCCCAGCCGACTGTGGCTGACCATTTAAGTCTGGGAGGTGAAGGCTCTGTGCCAGCAACACCCTCCGACGTGCCACCCCCTGCCAAGCTTGGTGCCCCTGTGTTGCTTTGGCAGCAAACGATGTTGTACCTGCTCAGGCATTCGAGGTTCTCCTTTTGTTGTGTCATGCATAGTATTTAACACCCGTGTCCCCACAACTACCTTCTTCTGTCTAGCCAACGAGACGGACGGATATCTCTCCATTGACATCCCGGAAAGTCAGCATTCGTATAACATCGGCAGCCTGTTGCCCAACGCCGACTACAAGTTCTATTTGTGGGCATCAACAAAAGTGGGGCCTGGGGAGTCCTATATCTTTGAGGGGAGCACAGTGCCAGAATCAGGTGAGAAAACCCTTTTGAGTACTTTCTTGTAAACAGGGGTCATTTCGTAGAAAAAGAGGTGCAGGAGCTCATTAGCACGACTCATTTGCATATGCCACGCCCCCTGACAGCACCGGAAGTGTGTCAGAAGGCGACACCCACCGCTCAGGCTCCACTGGACTGTTTTGGATTGCTAGCTATTTGGGGGGGGGGGAGACACATGCAGATCTGTCCTCGCAGAGGAGGGAGAGCTTGTGCCTGAATAAAACTTGGTCTTAAAGGTGCCACTGGACTGTTTAGGATGGGGGGGGGGCTCTGCAGCTTACCTGGCTGCTTCTTGCTCTGACTGAGGGCTGCTGGGAGCAGGGGGCGGGGCTTGTTGCATGTGGCCGCCCCCTGTGGTCTTTACTGCCGGAGCTTCGCTCCTGTGCGCTCCTGCAGGAAATGACCCCTGCTTGTAAATGAGAGAGAGAGAGAGAGAGAATGTCTCCTGCAGCGGCATGGATTCCCAGTTTAGAGAGAGGGAACACAAAACAGGTAGGATGACCTCTTTAGATGGGATGAACATCGCATATCTGAGTCCGTCCCTTTGAACAAACCGAACGCGTGAACAATAACGCCACCTCGTGTCGCGTGAGTTTCACGGAGTCTTCCGAAGAAGAAGAACGTGCTGTCCAAGCCATAACCGATCGACAGCAGCCCTGTCCACAGGGTGTTCCAGGCAAGAGATGTTCAGGGGTGGTGTCGGTAACTCCAATTTTTTTGCCTCCAAGTCACAGCCAATTTATGGCAATCCCATTGGGTTTTCAAGGCAAGAGACTTCAGAAATGGTTTGCCATTGCCTGGCTCTGTGTCACAACCCTGGACTTCCTTGGTGGTCTCTCATCCAAATACTGACCAGGGCCGACCTTGATTAGCTTCCGAGATCTGAAGAGATAGGGTGAGCCTGAGCTATCCAGGTCAGGACGAATGACTTCTTAGCAACACATTATCCAATTTGTGTTGCCTCCCTCCCTCCCTCCCTCCCTCCCTCCCTC